AAAGTCACTTTTAAAAAATTAGGATTACGTTTTACATTTTGTCTACAAATACTAGTACAATTTTCTTTCGTGCTTTATAAATTTATCAGCTGAATATTGGTTTTTGAAGATAATCCAAAACAGGTGGAAATTCGTGAAACAGATTCTTTAAAAAAGCCTTTACAAAAACCTGATTGAGTTACAGGTAACAAAGAGTAGGCGTCAATATGATCCCTACGTTGCACTTCTATAGCTTTCTTTAAGATTTTAGATAATGTTGGCAACATGCTAATAGTTCGAAGATCTTTATACTCTCGAGGATCTGATTTTTTTGGCAACATCTTTACTATCGCTCTTCTTCATGAAAGCGGAAAAATATTATTAGTTAGGTAAAAATTAATAATATGTGTAATATATTGAACAAAGCGTGGACAGCAATATCGAATTAGTCTTATACTTATTCCATCACCCCCCGTAGCATTAGTCTTTATCTCTGCAATAGCTCGCGAAACAAGTAAATCGTTTGTTTCAGTAAAATTGAATTTAGAATCTATTCTACTATTATTATAATAAAATAAGATTAAATCTTCAGCGGGTTGAGATCCAGCAACAAAATTTACAAGATAGTTATTAATGTCAACAGGGTTATTAAGACGATCAGGAATGGAAGTATATGTTTTCAGTGGTTTCCAAAATTGTTTAGAATGTTTATTATTAAATTCAAATGTAAAGATAGGTTTTTTCTCCCGTTTTATAGTACTGTTTGTGTAATTTCGCATATCTTTATAAAATTGGAAATGGGCATTTGACTTAGTATTTTTATACCTTTTAAAGGCTTTATCTCTAATATCCATCATTTCCCTTATTGCACCGGTAAGGCTTTAAGAGATGTAAATATGGTTTTATATTAATAAATAATTTTAATTTACAAAATATATTTGATTTTGAATATGAGGAATGATGATCCTTCCAAAAGACTTGCAAATAGATATGTGTCTCTTAAAATAGGAAGCTACGTTTAGGATTAAAGTTTTTTATTAATCACTAAATTGTTTCATCATTTTGTTGAATACTTATAAACACTTTTGAAATATCAAAATATACAAATTTCTAACAACTTGACAAATTCAAATTTATTTTGATAACTGCCACCTGACATAAAAACATGATGTACCTAATTAATCTATGATGTGCCAAAATCTAGTAACTTTTTTGTTTTATCCTTTTTATATTTAAACAATAAAGAAATCGAATGGACTTGGGGTATTTAGAAAGCCTACTATTTAACGGTCGACAATTTCAGAAAATTTTATTTGCCGTGATATTTTTTTATCAAGTTAATTTATTATGACTTCAATAAGAGCTGTAAAGTATTCATAAAACGTATTATACCGTAAACTTAAACAATAAAAATATAATTTTAAAAAGGGGTTGCCTAATTTCAGTTTGGAGCATATTTTATACAACTTTTTATATCGCCCATTATTTTTTTCACTAATAAACCCAGTGATGGAACTTCCTCCTCACGATGTTCCATTTTAATCTTGTAATTGAAGATAAAACTTCCAACATTTTAACGTTATTAATTTTCCCAGCGTAAATATACTCTTGAAGCTCTCGAAAGTAATTTAATTTCTTATCCAAGTTCTGATTTTCTTATAATTTTATATGTATAGCAAAGTTTTTCAATGTCGTTAGAACTTCAAAAATACATTATTTTTAAGGGGATAATTAAAAGTTAAGGTCTTTTAGATCTAAAAAAGGCATTTTTTGGAGTGAATATCGAAACTTTCAATATCTGCTAATAAGTTTCTATTGTTTTTGTTTCAAAAGGAATTTTTGCAATAAGGTTACAAATAAAAAATGAAGAATGAATGGACCATTTGTTGAATTTGTCGATACATCTCTTATAGTAATGCATAATGCTTTGGACTGTTAACACGTATAAACATTGTTCCCCAGCTTTTAGTTTAAAGACTCTAGCTAGTCGTATTTATCCTGTAGATTTAGCAGGAAGTTTTCAGTAAAAGTAACCTCAATCATTATAGTCTACAAAATGATGTTCTTTGATTTTCTCTTGCTCCTGACTTTCAAGGTCAACTTTGTTTTTTTTTTTTTTTTTTAATAAAAGCATATGCTTTTAAATGCACCATGTTATTTATTAGGGTAAAATAAATAACTTTTTTAGACGACTCCCATAAAAAATTACATTTTACGGATTTATTAACATCCCTAATAGACCGTCAGATAGTGACTGAGTTAGGTGCCCCATTTTCGCATACAAGCCTCGAAGAGGGTTGAAAAGTACATCGATTTTGAGTAGAATGAAAGAAAATTTACGAGTGGCCCCTGGGGCAACTAGGTTACTTGAATTTTTTTTTTTAATATTAATTTCTCAATAAATTCCACGGTAACCTATATATTTTATTGTAAAAAAACAAAACCTAAATATTTCAAAAACCTTATTTTTAGTTTTTTTCTACTCCATCTAATCAATAAATAATAGTAAAATTAATTATAATTCTAAAATTGTTGTTGAGGTCTTACTTTCTCGTAAGACACTTTACAAATACTCACATTTAAAAAAAAAATTCTCAAAAATTTGCACGGTAAGGTATAGTTAAAAGTTCACTATTAGATAAATAAGGACTTATTAGAAAAAAAATAAATTTTAGTCATAATCTAATATTTTTTATTTAACATTGGTGGCGAAAGGGGTGGCGAAAGGACCTCCTTAAGTTTAAATGATTTTTGGTATTGATTTTTTGGTGCCCTTATACTCAGCCCTCCCTATTACAGAAGTCACGTGTCGCCACTGCTTGAGTTAGTGAATAGGTATCCTGAAAACTAGAAATTGTTCTCGGGAAGTCTTATTACATTCTCCATAAATTAGTAACATATCAACATATTCACTTGAAGGCATTTGATTACAAATATTAACAACAAAATTTTATGACGTTATTTTGACCAACGGCTCCAATTTTAAAAAAACATGATACTGTCGTCACTAGACTATCAGTGGTCAGTGAATTTTTAAATTGAAATTTAATTAACACGCGCAAACTTCAGAACTGGAGGAGTAAGTAAAAACGTAGTTTACCAAATTTATTTATTATTTTAGAATAAAAAACATGGTGCATTTAAAACTATATGCATCTATTACAACAGTTAAGCACTTTGAAGATAATAAATTTAAGTTACTCTTACTTGAAACTTCTTCTGATAAATATACAGAGTGAGTTGATAGAACCTGTAAACTAAAACCTGGGACTACGTATATTTAAATAAACACAGTACTTAGATTTTCTCGATACAAAACAAATAATGCAAAACAAATCATATTGTTTTGTTTACAACTGTTTCTCATGTATTTTAGCTTGGTGGAACAAATTTGTTTTTATTGCGAAATATAACAAATAGGTAATATCAGTACTAATAATAAATAATGTTTAACTAGCTTCACGCGGTACATCCTACCTAGTTTTAAAAACTTTAATTTTTTAATGTCATATTTTAATAACAGTGCTTAAAAAATTACAATTATCCATAGGTAGGTATCTATTGATGACAAGTAAGTACGTTAACGATGTCACGGTCATTTTTTACAATTCATAAAAAACCTGTGTAGATTATGTAAATTTTCACAAGTAAACGGCGAGAATAGATAAGACGTCATTAAAATTTAGAGCTATAAACAAATGAGGATCTGGATAACTATTGCGTTCGATATAACTGGTTTAATTCAGGTATAGTTAAAACCAGATCATGGGCAATTGAAATAATCCTGTAATGTTGTAACGATAAACTCCAAAACTAAATTCTAATCATAATTACTTGTAAAGGATTTACGAAGATTATTTTCAAAACTAGATATGAAATTAGGGATAATAGGTTAAATAAAATAATTGGAAAAACATTTCGTAACAATAGCAAAATTAAAATCGTTACAGTACGATCGTAGACGTTAATAATAGAATCTCAATTGAGGAATTGGTGATTAATGGCGTTAGATAAAACCTTTATTTGTTACAGATTGGCATCTTTAAAGATGAATGAACAAATATAATGACTTATTCGTAATGCTTTTATAGATAGTACGGGGATGAGAGACTTAAAATGTGGTATATCCTAAAATACCCAAGATGAAAGGAGAAGAAACGATGATTTATGTAAAAAAATGAGATTAACGCATGTCTTAGTAGTTTTGACACAAGATTCATTGGCTTTAATTTTAACAAAAACAAAATATTGTTAAGTTGCCTTTGGAAACAAAACATTGCTTACTGTCAGTTGGAAGTTATTTATTTTGAAGTTTTTGCTTCCAGATGTCGTATAAGATAGAAATAAGAAAGAGTATCCACAACCAGGATGGGCGGGTGTATTTAAAGCTGAAATATTTTGAATATTTTAGAATGATATTTCTCGCATAACCATTTATCGAACAGTAGCTCGACAGTCCCATTCCAAAACACAGTATCCAACATTTTTTAAAAAAATAAGATTATTGCATAAATGGAGTTACCGTGTTGATCTGCATCTTTTGGCAAGGGTTTGAAACATTTTAAAGCACTCGGTATTAAGATATTAAATGTGCCAAACCCAGTATCTACACCCTTCATACCGGTTTACCATCTCAAAACACAGTATCTTCCAATTACTGGCACGAAGGGATTGCTGGCCGTGACGGTCATAATATTGTTGATGCAATTTTTAAAGTTTTTCAAGTTGAACGTGATGTTAAAGATTATATAATTTGGTGTGACAATTGTACGGGCCAGAATAAAAATTGGATTCTGTATACGGCATTAGTTTATTTATTAAATCAAGAAAGTTGTGGAATTAATTCCGTGTCATTAAGATATCTAACAAAGGGGCACACGCACATGAGTGCGGACGGTATTCATGGCAATATTGAAAGAAGGATACATAAACTTGGTCAAATTTACGATTACGAGGATTTAAAAGACGACGGCTTCTTCTAGAAAAAATTGTTATGTACTTGATGTAAATAAGTTCCTTAAATGGGAAAAGAAAAAAAGAGAACCTCAAACAAAGAAGATCCAATGAAAGGATTTTTGCTACAAGATTTGGTTGAAGTGAAATTTAAGAAAGGATCTACATTGTTGCAGTATAAAACCGACTTTCATCAGGAAAGTTATGCTTCAGTGGATTTTTTGCAAAAGAAGTTTAAAAGAACTATGCAGGAGCCTGAAGCCATACCAGTTAGGGGAATACCAAAACAAAAGAAAGATGCAATCATCGCGGTGTTAGGACAATTAATGTCTAAAAATCGGCTGGAATTTGGGAATAGTATTATAGAAAATGACTCGGCTCAGGATTTGGTAGACAGTCAAGGAACAGAAAATATTGATTAACAGTAAAGACCGTGTTGGTTTAATTTTGTTTATTTATTTAGTTTGTTCTTTTAAAATAATCAAAAAATATAAAAATAAAAACACGTTTTAAAATAATTGAAAAATCTTTTTACTTTAATCTAGTTCAGTTTTAGTACAGGTATTTTTAGCTTTAAAGCCTTTTTTATACCCATAGTAGTGTATAGTGTATATGCTGTGTTTTGATTCAAAAGTTAATATGTACAAGTTACCATTTTAAAACACAGTAGTTACTGCTCCGCAGTACATACTGTGTTTTGGTTAAAACATAAAGATAAGTTTCCAATTTCAAAACACAGTATGTGCTATATCAAAAAAATCTAATTTTTTTTCTGGAAAATAGTATTTTTTACCTAGTAACACAAAAGCCATCTAATAGGTTTGCAAAGGCCAAGCAAAAACACTAAAATAGCGTTTTCTCTGATTTTTCAAATTTGCAGATACTGTGTTTTGAAATGGAGCAGCCGAGCTGACTGCGAGCAGGGAATACCATGTCTGAATATCCCAAAAAGTGGAAGACCGCGAAAATGTACTTGGGATGTTGGGATATCAGCGAGGAGAATGGCTCTCCAATACGGTACTAAGAGTACGGTATCGGTAAAATTGAACAGGAATGATCTTAGATATCGAAATAGACGTAAGTGTCCTAAATACACTTCTTCATATACCAAGATACTGCTGTAAACTGAGGCGGGTGCACTTTGCCGGCGGATAAAACATTATTATATATTGCGTATTTTACTTTAATTCTGAAATGAAAGGAAATGGTGCGTTTTATATGGACAACGTAGAGAATTGCACTTACTATTTTAGGCAAAAACATAAAGCAAAATTTGCGAATAAAATCCTTGTCTGGAGCACAATTTATAACAGAGATATACCTTGACCTGTTGTGGGAAGAATTGTTAAAAGACTTGTGGAAGAAAGACTTGTGGAAGAAAGACTTGTGGGAAGAATTGTGGGAAGAGTGAGAGGCGAAGTTTTGAATAGCCAGGGCTAGATTGCCTTTCCAAATTACTCCAGAACATCATATTAATGACGATATCATGTTTGGGTTAGACTTAGCATTGTGTCATTACGTTTGGAAAACACAATATATCTTGGGAAGCTCAAGATGAAAAACAACGTAAACGATAAATAATTAAAAAAAAATTAAGAGAAATTGATTTGAATTTCGTCCAGGAAAAAATTGCGCATGGTGGAGCAGTATGGGCCACTTTACAGTATTCGATAATATAATTAAGTTGTAGTTTATGAAAGCCAGTCCATTTTCAATAAATTATTTATTAAAATATATATATATATATATATATATATATATATATATATATATATATATATTGTGATCATAATGGAAAATACATTTTATATAAAAAGTAGAGCATTCCAATGGGCATTTTTACAGAATAGGATTCAAAAGTGTATAAAATATTGGAAAATTGATGCATAAAGAATAAAATATGTTTATAAATGGCGGCAACATTCAATTGATAGCATTTTGTGTAAAGTATCTACAGATGGAATGTCAGTGGAAAGTCGTAGCACATTATTTATTTAGATATAAAAATCATGTCTTAATTCAAAATTATAATTATAAACATGTTATTGTTATTTAAAATTTCAGGTAAATATTATTCCCTTGATCAAACTGCTGTCCAGAAACCGGGTCCATGACTGATTATTGAGAATTAAATTATTAACAAAGGAAAATGGAAAATTTTGACGTGATAAAAAATTTGTCAAAATTGAACTATGTTGGGCTGATCTCTGATGCCGGGGGGTGGTGAAGTTTCAGAAAATTAAAATTTAAGTAAAAGTCAGGATGTCGCACACAGGCGAATTTTTGGAAATTCTTGGTCAATATCTAAAAATAGCAAATTGAGTTAAAACAAGAAATTGCATCATAAATAATCTCTTTAGGTATCATTACCCATTTTAGTAAAGTAGATTTAATATTTAATCAAGGACACGAGTTCGAAGATGACGTTTGTGGCAAGTGTTTGTATTTGGAAACAATGTGTGTCGATTTTAAGTATTTTTGTGCAAAATTAAAAGACAATTACAGTGTGAAATAAGTTTATGTAAATTATGGAGGCAAGCGGTAGTGGTAAGTAGACTATTTTGACATTATCAAGAGTCATAAATTGACAAAGAATTTGGATACCCGTTAAAACGTACATATACTTCAAAAAGTCAAAGAAAAAATGTGTAATTATTTTACTAAGGCGAAAAGTAGGGTGGAATGTTTTCCGATAAAAACAACTGTAAGGAATTTTTTACTTTAATGTGTAGATTCTTACTTAACCTAAACAATTTGCCACTTTTTGTCACTTTTTAAAATATTTAATTTTCTTTGTCTAGTCGCACTGACCAAAAATTGCTAAAAATAAATAAACTTGCGTGTATAAAAATCGGCCCACTGTAAACTTTTGACTTTAATTATATTTTTTTAAAAAAATTATACATCAGATTAAAAAAGAAATATGCTGTTTGAAAAACAATTTAATATGCTTTAATGTTAGTATAAATTTATCAAGATTTATCAAATTATTCTTTATATGCATAGCAACTGGTAAACAAATGAAACGTGTTTATGTGGTGATTGTAACGAAAATAACAAATTTGTCAAATATTAAAATTATTGCGTTTGCAACTGAAATTTGCATATTATTCGTTTTTTATAATCTCAATAGTGTTAGTTTAATGCATACCACACCACAAAAAGCCACCCAAGTTATTGCTTAAATTGAAAATGGACTTGGTCAGCGAGCTGTTCCTAGACGCGCAGTTATGAGGAGACTGGATCCTTTCATAGGCAACCTGGAACAGGCAGAAGGCGATTTACAACCGCTCGTGATGACCGCCTTATTGTGTCAACAACATTAAGAAATCGTCACCTTAATGTCGTTCAAGTGCAACGACAGCTCCGTAAGGTGCGAAGAGTGGTCAGTGGACAGTAAGACAAAGACTGCATGAAAATAACCTGACCCCTAAAATACCTGAGATTGGTCCAAAACTTACGCCAGCTCATCGGCAAGCACGCCTGCGTTTTGCACGGGATCATCTGAATTGGACGTTGGAACGATGTGGATCTGTTCAGTTCTCAGTTGAGACCAGAATATGCCTCCATGGTAGCGACCGAAGAAAGAAAGTGTACTGAAGACCAAGAGAGCGATTTGCAGAGTGCTGCTTTGAAGAGCAGAGTGCTTATGGAGGTGGTTGCTGCATGATCTGGGGTACAATTTCTATAGGAGCACGAACCGACCCTGTGTTTATTCGTAGGGGCGACCGTGTTTACGGAAGAAGAGGTCTAACGGCTGATAGATATTGAGGAAATTTTAGCAATTCATGTGGTACCTTATGTTGACTACATTGGAGACGAATTTACCTTTATGCATGACAATGACAATGCAAGGCCGCACACCGCAAGAATCGTGCAAATTACATTGCAGAAGTCGGTTTTCGGGTTATGGAGTGGCCAGCATACAGTCCTGACCTAAATCCGATCAAACATTTATGGGATGAGCTAAAAAGAAGAACTCGAGCTAGATTTCCTACCCCAAACTCGATCCCAGAGCTTATTGTTGCAGTAGAAGAAGAGTGGCTTAACATTCCATAAGAAACAATAGCTAACTTGATTAGATCTATGCCTAATCGTATAAGAGATGTTATTAGGGCAAGAGGAGGTCATATCCATTATTAAAAAATTAAGTGTTAAGTTTTAAATTGTCAATAACCCTATTTATGGTAATAATAAAAAAGCTTCATTTGCTTAATTCATTAATTTCACTATGTTAAACATAGGAAGTCAAAATAAGTTTTCATAAATTTATACTGGCATTAAAGCATATTAAATTGTCTTTCAAGCAGCATATTTTTTTTTTATCTGATGAATAATTAAAAAATATAGTTAAAGTCAAAAGTTTACAGTGTGTCGATTTTTATGCACGCCAGTGTATTATGTGAGTTAACCAATAATTACGTTGCTTTATAGTATAGATGTTTATTTTTTTACGCATGATAGAGTAAATATATTACATAATATATAACAGTGGTAGAAAAAAATTAAGATATTTTAAATACAGGGTGTCCCAAAAAATCAAAACAATTAAACATAATTTTTTGAAAGAAAAAATTATCATAATTGGGGGATTTAAAAAACTCAATCAATCAATTTTAAACAACTATACTTATACAGGACCAGTCATAAAATGTTTAACTTTGACAAAGCTATCCTTCGCATAATTTCAAGATGAAGTGCGATTTTTTACGTAACCAAGTGCGAGTGGCAATATGATGCGAGTCGTTATCAATATATCATTCAGTCGCTATTGATGGCTTTATCAAAGTTTTGAGCATTAGGATTTGGAAAATTAATTAATAGGTTCAAAAGAAAAGACTTGTATTTCGTTCAAATTTTTTTTTAATTTTTTTTTATTTTTAAATGCAAAGCGCTTTCGGCATGGTGCCATCATCAGTGCTTATTGTCCACAAACAAGCATATCCACCAAGTTCTTAGTCATCCTCGCTCCAAAATATAAATATTTCTGGATATTCACAACTTGCTAAATCATAATTATTACTATTAGTAATATTTTAAAATTTAAATTGATTTATACATTCATTTTTATTATTATTGTTTAACCAACTGTTTCCATGTGACAGTGGTGTCACATCAGAGGTTTTGAAAAACGTTCTGGTATGATTGTAGTGTGCTAAAAAAATTAGGTAATTAAATCTCATAGGCACTTAGAAATAGGTCCGCGTTAAATACAGGAATAAAAAGCGACTCTTTCAGGACTAAATATATTATCCCTTATTTTATAGTATAGTAAAAAATAAATCCGCTCTCCAAACAATAAATACAACATAAAGAACAAGAGCACTAAAAGATTGAACCTATTAAACTTTTATAAACAGTATTCCGCTTTTAAAACTTTAATGAACAATCTTCTTAATTGTTTACTTCAAGTCGCAAAACG